TTTAAAATAGAGTTTGCGTAACATAAATTAATATTTTGAAAACATTCTTTACTTTCATTAAATATCTAAATATTATAATTATTTATTTATATTATGTAATTCTAAATTACATTGCGTCATACATGAATATTTCGTAGCAAGAAAACATAACCACTAATTGGTTTCAATCTTCCAGATGTCCCGTCGATGACAAGCTGATCTCCCGTTTCCGAGGGTCGTGGTCTGAATCTGGCGTGTTCGAGACGCAAGTGTATGCGTATATGAAAACGTTCCGATTCACGGGATCACCAGCTCTCTATATAGAATGCGATGTTCGAATGTGCCATGGAAGGTGTCCTGTAAGTACCTATCGCTATATAAATTTTAATTAGTTCCCACTATTAAATATATATATATATATATATGTTAGCATTGTTACTTGTAACTTCACTCATTTATTTTTCCTTTCATTATGTTATTTAAAATCAGCGCTATTTTAAATAAATACTTCGGAATTGTCATTAAAATTGCAAATGCTATGTGATATTATTTACATATTACAGTTTGACATTTATGGAATGTATATAATCCGGAGAAAGATCTCCGGGAATGTAACATCATTCTCCAAGAATTATGACTTCGCCTGCTACTAAATTATTAGCAAAAACTCAGGCATTAAAACTATAAATTAAAAGAAGTTAGAAAGAGTTATGTTCTAAATAACGCCAATATGTCTTTATTAACAAATATCCTCTTCAGTCCCAGCCTTGCCACTGGCGTAACATGAAGAGTGTGCGACGTCGTTCTGTGGAAGAGACCGCGAGTGTTGCGCCAAGACTGTCAGAGAACATCTCACTCTTTCAGTCATTACGGGTTTTGCAAGAGGGGGAAGAGGACGAAGAATCATCAAGGGCTGGTACGTGTATTATTCTCGTTAAATCTAGATGAAATATGACCAACGAAATTAATGTCTTTTTCCTTCAGGGGCCCTTTCATCATTAACCACTTTCTTAAAAACAAAATTACAACGATTGAAAACTTTATACATTCCCTAACAATCTTAAACAACTTCTTCTCAACCTGTCCTATGCGGAAACGGAGAGTTCTTATTGTGCAACAATAGTTTTATTATAAAATGTATTAGTTATGTAGAAATAACTATGTCATTACGACACAAGGAATCCTAGTGTAGGGACTAGTGCTCTTCCTTTTTCTAAACATCCTTTTTTATTATATATAAAGTTTTTTCTTTTCTTCTTTTGTATAAAAACTAAGAATCGCGTTAAACTTGAATATCGGATTCAATTCCTGTCCCGTTTTACAATATCACGTTGAAAGTCAATGATTGTTCCCTTCAATAGAGGGACCTTCTACCTTGTTCAATACAAGACATATTAAGCATGTAAACTGCCTGAATAACATGAGTCAAAGCGCATCATATAGTATGTATATATGTACATAATAATATGATAGATGGCGCCATCTATTGCCAGATTAAAACACTTTGCCATTTGTATTAAAGGCATAATTTGGAACAGTTTCAGAAGGCCAGACCTGTATGAAAACATCAGCGTTATCCGCAATGATAGTATCTTGTGGGTTACTGATTGCCGCCCTGCTGGTTGCTCTACTAGTCGCGGCTCGGGGATGGCGGAGAAGTGAACGAAGAACTCCCCTCCATGCGTACGTGCCCCACAAGGGACGGATAAAGTAATTTCGAATAGTAGTGCTCTCTAAATAATCTATTAATTATATTTGGTTAGTAGCTCAACCAAGTATAAAACGCGTAGCTTCGCGCGGTAGCCAATCATTTTGAGCCAACGGCTTTAAATTGGAAATCTGAGTGGATAAAGATCACTATTTTATACGTTTATCAAACAATTCAATTAAGTCTTATTCTATACTCTTTTCTACGGATCTTTTAAGTAATTCTTTTTGAAATTAAAGATATAATGTATGGTAGGAAAGTTCTTGGTCGAACTTTGTATGACGTAGGCTCGATTTCCACAGTTTTATTTGATACATATAGAACATTTATTCTGTATATTTTTTTAAATCACGTGGAATGCATAATATTTTATCTATATATAGCGCAGTTCGGAGGAAAGGAAATATTTTAACTGATTAATATGGACATTACAAACTTAGTTTTATTTTATGTTGACATTTTAATGAAATGTTGAGATAATATATAAACTATGTTATAAGTCCATTTTACATATAAGAAGTAAATCCCTCCAACCAAAAGTTAAGGCACTCGGCTGTAACCCGTAAATCCTGGATTCGTTACCCGAAACAATTATCATTTTATACTTACCTTTAAAAGGTAGAAATATACAGAGTATAGAGGTATACAACAACAGAATATCATAAAATATTCTTAAAGACGTATGCAGTTAGGTTTTAAACGCGTTTTCATTTATAAAATTTTTTTCCAATATGTTTAGTTAATACAAATAAACAAACATATTCAAAAAGTAACTTATACTATGTATAATAATAATTAATTATATAAGTTATGCCTCCGTGGTTCATTCTAAGTGATCTAAGTTCGTCTGCGAAGTAATTAGGTTCCTAAGCAGTGTCCGCCCCGTGCCCCACTGGGGTACCGTATATAGGTATTATCTAAATGTATATAAGACGTATTGTGAGGATTTATATTTTATTAAAATATATCTCCTTCTTTATGTCTTAAGATTTATAAATATGGAAAAGTAACATTACTAAGCGATAAGAATTATTTATATTATTTAAGGTTTAGTTGAGTAACAGTATTGTAATTATTATTATTAATTACCGTCCAGTAGTTACGAATTACTCTAGGGACCGTTTATTTTATACAATAAACATTTTTTATAATATTGTCTTTGGTTGATACGAGTAAAGGAGGCCGTATAGCTTGACTTTGGGCATATCGATCACTAAAACTCGGTAAAACTATCCAAGGCAAAATTTTAAACGACGCGACGCATTGAGTATAAGTTTTTTCTAAGTGTTATGTACATCGCACTCGTACAAGAGTATATCTATACAATTAAGTAAAACCTTCTTCAATATTATGTAATAAAAAAAAAACAAAACGATGTTATCTTTGTAAGTTTGGTTTAATGTAATTTAAAGGTTTAGCCCGTTTTATGGGTAGCCTTTTGACTAAGTTAGATTAAGAGACCATGTACATATTAAAATAATTTTTATACCGTAATAAATTATATGACAGCTCATATATTTTATTTAACTTCTTTTGAGTATTAATTTTTTTTTATCCCTAACTCTTAATTGTATTATCACCACCTTTTAAAGTTGGGTTACTATAATCTTTATATCGTCACTGTAGAATGATAACCTCGTATGTCAAAAAACCATTTATTATTTATTCTTGGACTTTTATGTAATTTAACTGGTTAAGTAAGGACTTATTTATGTTATTAATAATTAAGTCCTTTTACTATCTAAAACTATGGACAAAAACACAAAAATATTTCAACGAACATTGACGAAATGAAACATTTTTTTCGTTTCCGTAGTTTGGTACTGTGGGCTTACGAGGTTATCATTTTACAGCGACGATATATATAATTCTACTGTACGTGTGTATGTCACTGTCACTCCTCTTAAACAACTGGACCGATTTGAATGAATTTTTTTGTAAGCGTTTGAGTGGCGCCCTGGATGGTTTAGATTCACAAACCAGCCCGGCAGATGCCACTGCAGTCGGTATCTAGGTTATTTATCTATACAACAAATAAACAGCTGGTATATACATAAACCTTTTTTGCATGTGCTCGTAATCAAACTCCTAACCGGCTGAACAGATATTGTTGAATTTTTATGTGTGTTCAATTGGAGTTGAGAATGATTTATATTATTAGATATGTTTTTGTATGTAAGACGTGTGTACAGGACAACGTCTGACGGATCCGCTAGTATAATATATATTTATTTAATATATAAGTGAAGAAATAAAAGACAATATAATAAAAAAAACACGTATATTAAAACATCGTTTTTAGTAAAAGCTAACGTAAAAATACTGTTTCATTTTATAATTCGTTTTAATATTGCACCTTACATACATAATTATTTTCATAAAGATTTAAATATATCACGATTTACGCCATTCCCTATCAGATTGTCGTAACGTGTGGTAGAAATTACGACCCGTTAAGAACCCGGGCGTCAATCGCAATATAGCATTTTAATTTGATTTTTGAATAATATTAACACATGTGCGCATGTTATTAAAAAATAAATTCGATTATCGCAATTATATAAATAAAAATACAATGGTTGGTAGCGTTGTATACTTATTACAATAAAAAATAATCACACATTTTAACTAAAGTAACCATTCCTCTCTTTCTGACAAGTTTTGTTTAGGTTATAATAAAAAGCAGCGAACTTCTGATAGCTTTGACAGATGACAGTTGACATTACTTAATTAAGTAAAAATCATTCAATATATTTATATATATAATTTTTTTTTTCACTTTCTTTCTTTCTTGGCCTGCGCGGTTTGTGCGTCAGCCATGCAAAAAAGTTAGGAAGTGCGTTATTAGATTTATAATTATATATATTATAAACATATAATTACGAAAGTAGATTATCAAAATGACAAATGACGTAATAATCGAGTTGATTATTTCTTAATCAGCCTTCTAAGCCTGATACGACAGTATGCATCCAATGTTTCAAAAACTTTATTTAAAAGTAAATTGTCAAACTGACAATTGACAGGTTACGCTAGGACACATCGATTTTTGTATCTAATTGATCATTTTTTTTGAATAATGCTTTAAGATAACTTTTCGCTTTAAGAATTAGACTTCCCTGTTATATTCGTCATTTAACTCGCTGTTGTCATTGAGTTAGCGCAATTGCGCTGTTGACAAAACATCTCTAACTGTCTGTTTCAGGACAGAATGAATTAATCACTACTTATACAATATATTTGAATAAAAATTGATTTATAAATACACAAAAATGCACTGTGTCTAACACACAAATACAAAAAAGCTTTGGTTTTATGCGATAGGTTTAAATTGTTCTAATTTCGTGTTTATATATTCGATGGCATCTTCTAGTATTTGTACTTCACATTCTTTTAGGAGCTTTATATTTTTTCTGAAAAAAAAGCATGATTTTAGTTAGAAGTGCTTTAATAATTCTGAATTTAGAACACTTTTATGAATTATTTAAGCAAAAGTTCATAAAAACGGTTCTGGGTTCGATTTCCAGAAAAAGATTTGTAAGCTATCAATCGATAAAACTACATAAATTTTATTTTATTTTTGTTCTCAAACAACTCCTGAGGGACTATTTGTATCGAAAAAGAAACTTGTATGAAATGAAATTAATTATTTTCTGTTTTTAATATTTAATAAAAAATATTTACCTATTTAGACTTTCCGCATCCTTCACCTCGAACTTTTTGTATGCTGAGATCAAAATATTACATCGCGTTAATAAATACTTGTATGCGCGTGCATCGATATCACGACCCACTTCCTTCGCGCTAGATTCTTCTGACGACACCAAATCACTAGGGAGACCGGATTGGCTCCATTTTTCTAATTCATCTAAAAAGACATTTTAACAAGTGTTCAAAAAAACTTTAATTTATTCGTACCCTATAGTCTTCCTTGAAAAACGAACACACAAACAAAACGACACGCAGAACCCAAAATGATCAATGAAATACTGAAAAGGATAAGGTGCAAGTATTACGTCACGCAATTTTTGGAGATTATTGACCCCCCCATGTAACGCGCCGTAACGTTTTTCTGTACCCAAGTATAGTAAAACGTTTCGTGACCTCCCAGTGACTCTTTATACCTAAAAGTTACATTGTAAAGTACTGGAAAGTCAAAAGTTAACAATAACGCGTAATTCAATGCCCGCCCCGCATCGTAACGTTTTACAAAAGGGAAACCCCCCCAAACTTGAACGCTCCCTAACACTACGAAGTACGTTTTATTATATTTTTGTTAAAAACAATTATTTTAGTTAAACTTACCCTTATTCATATTGAATATCCGTATAAATGCTAGTAATTCGGGCATAATAATTTTCCCCTTTTTGTAAAGTCGGTATTGGGTGACATAATTTAACCCCAGCTTTGTTAAAAGCGACATTTTCAATCCTCGTAACGGGTCACTTGAACTCACTCCCATTGTTAGAGTTAGATAATCATAATCGTTGTTTGGGTAAACGAAACTGAAATTAAATAAATATATGAAATATCATTTATAACAAAGTCAGCCTTCGAGTAAACGTATTTTAACCGTGCGTTCCAACCTATGAACCAGTGGATGATTTGCACAGAATAGCAATCCAATGGGCTGCAACTCTATATGAAAAAAGTCAAAGAAAAAATCATTTATTCATGTAGGTAACACAATGTACTTATGAACGTCAAAAAAGATTTATACATTAAATGCTTCTAATTTTACATTTACTGCCAGTTCTCAAATCAAGGGCGTAGAACGGAAGAGAAGAACTGGCAATAAACTCTCCGCCACCCTTTTTAATAGCCAAGTTTTACACAACGTTTGTAAGGAGCTGCAACCATTACACCATGTTCCACATGACATCTTAAGTATTAAATAATAAATTAAAAACAAAGATTTGTCCTCATCAGCCGTGACCACCTAGTGACTCTTTATACCTAAAAGTAACCATTATGTGGTATAAAGTACTGGAAAGTCGAAAATAATTTTAACAATAACGCGTAATTCAATCCCCGCCCCGCATCTTAACGGTTTACAAAAGGACCCCCCCCAAAATTCGTTACGTAATACTTAAAAGCTCCCCAAAAACTGATGGAAAACATTGTGAGGAAACGTCGCACGCTAAAGCCACTAGGCCAGCACTCCATTTTTTTATATAGCCTATAAATGATATATATACTAATATACACATTTCTTCCATCGAGTACGTTAATAAGGCAATTATTTCGTTGGCAATAATCGATATAACAGTTCGCACAGTGATGCAACATGCGTAATCAGTTACGTGATCATTATATCATAGTATTACAAAGGAAATTGTTTACTAACGTCAACATTAATTTGTTTATTTATTCCAAAATATCATTATTAAATCTTTACGAGCCAATGCTGTACATTTTGCTCACTCAGGCTATCTTAGTTTTATCTGCGTGGCGAAAATTCCAAATCGTCGGAATTACTAGTAGGGACTCTCTTCAACTGTTACGATTGCAAACGTTATACTGGGTGTAGCGTAAGGAATATATGTATATATGACACACCCTGTATATTCACACGGATGTTTGGCGCCTAACAATTTGACTAATAGGATATACCAACATAATATGTAGATGATCCTAATCCTTGCTCCAGTTCAAACAGTTTGTATAACTCAAAAGTTAGCGATTAAAAGAGTGGCGAAGAGTTTCTTGCCCACTCTACGCCCTTGTCTTGCGAACAGGTAGTAAATGTAAATTTAGAATCAATTTAACATCTTTTCCGTAGACGTTCATAATTATACTCGGTTACCTATATGAATAAAGTTATTTGGAGTTTGAGTTAATTTACCCATTATGAACGAAGAGGTCCTCGTTGGGGCGAGGGCCATAGAAAATGAACACTTGTTCACCGGGCTTAAAGTCGCGTTTTGCATAAGATTCACCTCTGTTCTTTTCTTTGTTGAAGTCCGTACTGATCTGGAATTGCATACATTTATTATGAAATTTATATACATGCATTGGAATAAAACGAAATTGCCATGTACGGCTATGTTCTAGCTGTGTATAATGAAATGTTGAACCGCCACAAACATTTGGAAAAATTAATAAAAAAATTACGATATATATACAAAAGTTCAGTGGATTTTTAAAGACCACATAACAAATACGCGTTACGCTATTTAGTTTTCACTTGTAAATAAATTTATTTTGATTTATTTATAAGTTCTCACACAACGTTTATGCATAAAACTATACAAGAAAATATGACATCACAAATATTAGACATTTGAAAATCTGCTAGATGTATTAAAATAATTTCCACATATCATGGTCTCAAGTGTGTGCCCGATACCAACCCACACACACCCTCCCAAATACTCACTCACATACACACACTCACGTGCTCTCTCTCTCTCTCACACACACACACACACTCACTTACCCACACACACGCACGCACTAACACATACACACACACCCATACAACTCTATTTCTGTAGGAATCTTGTTGACTGTTTTGATTAGTTTTTTTTTCCTTTTTTTAGAAACATTAAATTTTGTTGCCTACTCATATATGTACTTTTTTTTGTTATGACTCAGTATAACTTTGCTGTGGAATGGAAGCCTGGTTATCCATATCACAGGTTCTTTCTTACCTAGTACCTTATCTCCCAACACCTTCTTAATAGTAATCGTACTGTTTGCTTCAAATGTCATATGGGGGAAAATAAAGAATTATTATTATTAGATGAGAAGTGGGATTTTTTTTAATTATAAAGTTGTAGAGAGAACTTTACCTTCCCTTGCTCGTGGTTGCACATGTCCCACAATGGTATGAAGGCTGTTGTCTCAAAGTCCGTCAGCTGAATGTGGTTCTGACGAGTCATCACCGTGGACACTGCCCATCTGTAAATGATAGAATCTATATATATATCAAAACGAATCCCTATGTCCCTTGGACACGGCAACACGCGTGAACGGCTGGACCGATTTCGCTAATTCTTTCTTTGTTGTATTTGTTATTGTCAAGAATTGTTAAGAATTAAACCACCATACTAATCAAACTTTTTTGATGTAACCTTATGGCGTTCGATATAATATTGACAGAATGCGTGCTGCAAATATCGTCAAAGAGGATGTAATCCTTTAAAACAAGAGGATGTAATCCTTTAAAACAAATGCTTCGATCGGAGTTATTATATTGATAAAATACGTATATAAAATAATAATCAATAAATTTATTTAAAAAAGGGAAAAAATGTAACAGACTATACTTTTAACTAATTCAGCACACTACATCAAAAAGCTAATATGTAGGTATATAATATCTTCTTTATATAAATAATTCTGCTGAACGTGTGTATGTCACTGAACTCCTCTTAAACGGCTGGACCGATTTGAATGATTTTTTGTATGCGTTTGGGTGGCACCCTGGATGATTTAGATTCACAAGTCAGCCCGTCAGATGGCGCTGCAGTCGGTGATATCATACTTTGTTTGATATCCTAATCACTTGAAATATCATACAGGACAACGTCTGTCGGGTCCGCTAGTAGATATGGAAAAATTTATACGTTTGGATGATTTGACTAATTTACGTTTAAAACAAAGGAAATCAACTCAAAAGTTGTACAAACTAAAACCTATGTGTGGCCTCGATAATAGGTGCGGATGCACAATAATTGTAATTAATTATAATTATTGTGCGTAATTTGTGTGCATAGATATTACAAAAGATTCCAAAAACAACAAAATTTAGTAAAGAAACCTAAGTGATAACAGAATGCCCTTTCTATAATCGAATGGGCGGTCCGAAAAAAGTAACAATAATAAGGATTTGCGATGCATTCTTCCGTGTTATTTAATATATCTGTAGGATTGCCAGATTTTTTTTTAGCCCATAAGGGGCAATTGCTTAAATAGGCAAAAAAATAAGGGAATTTAGTTTTTTACCCGGTACAATTAAGAAACAAAATTATTTAGTGAAATTTATTTCCGATGAGCAAAGAATTTTTATTGGTTTAACATATTTATAAAAATCAAAACAATCGTTATTGAAAACGGTCATCAACTCGATTTTTATTAAATTAGGGGTAAATTTATTTTTCACATCAGTCCACTTATTGGGAATGTGTTTTAGCCCACTTATTAGGAACAATTTGAGCTAGGTATACTAAAAACGAAGGATAAAATTCGGAAAATGTTAGAGATTTCGGTACTGCATAATCCTTTGATTACTTTCTTCCAAGTTTTAATCGCTCCCATACTCTTGCAATCAGAAGTTGTATTAACAATATTCAGGTTTTTTCTGATTATTTGACTTGATTTTATATACGGGACGTCTGGCAACGCTATATATCAGTATCATAGATAAAACTTATATGACGAATATTAAGAATTACACAAATTGCAATAAAATTTTTATTCATTGAGTAAATGATAAAAATAGTGTACCCTATCTAGATACAAAATGATTATGAATTTTCTAACAAAAAGAGCGACGTGAAACGTTAGAAATTGCTTATCATGCACTCAGATAAATCTTACTCTAGAAGGACTATAATTGCGAATCTAGAGATAACACAGATCAAGAAATTTAGACACACATAATGAAGCGTAAGGTCGCGCCGTGAAGCCTAAAGTGAAAGTGAAAGTTCTGTGCTTCTGGAAGGAGATAGGCTGTCTTAATTAGCCAGACCTTTTCGCTAGCCTAGCTAACCTTACAGACCAAATGAGTCAACACTACATTACATAAAATAACACTTTTTTTATATAGAGCTGAACAGACGATTTGCCAGAATCCCAAAGGAGGGCATGCCTGTCCAGAAGAGAACCCTTAGTTTTGTCATTAGTAAATAACTTTGTTGCCCGAAGGCGGTATTCCATTCTTCAGTTGTGGCAACAAAAATACCGGATACTTTGTAAAGGATACACCGATATTTACCAAACACACGTATTGTTAATGAATGTTTTCAAAATTGTATGAATGAAGATAATACGACGAAGTTCCCCGATTCAATTAGAACATAAATATATTTATTTGTACCCTTATTTTCTAACTTAATAAAAGCAAAATATCATTTATTCATAACGCGCATGTGAACGCCAATAAGAAAATTAACTAGAAAAATGAAACGCATCTAATTTTTCGAACCGGTGCCCGCTGGCCGGCGGGGCCCGCGTTCACTTGTGCGCATACAAAAAAATTTATTCAAATCCGTCCAGACGTTTAAGACGAGTTCAGTGACATACACACGTACAGTAGAATTAAATACGGTGTATAAAGATTTGTCAAATTTTTGGAAGTCAGTGGTGCCACCGAATATCTAAATTCGCTGTGAATACGAATAATTTGACACTTCAATCAGATTGGTCCACGGACAGAGTTTTTTTTTCATTCTTTTTTATATACTGTATTATATAAAGAGCACTCTAACCTCGATTTATGTAAATAACGGAATGAATTCGTGTTTCGCGATAAAAACATATTTTCTGTTCGTGTCTCTAACATAACCTATTCATCCAAATCCCTATCATTTATCGACCGCAAAGCAATTTACTGTAAATTATGCAATTCTAAGGAAGTATTTTATAATGTGGTTATGACTTTCAATCACGTTTTAAATTTACGATTATCCTTTCACATTTATTAGTTTCTACTCGAGTCAAAACACCTTGCGTTACCTCAGCCCATGTTAGTTTCTTGCAGCTTAAATTCAACCATACATTTTGGTATACGCCATCGATCTTAGTAGAAATGTCCCATTTCGTCATATGTAGAGCACTGTTGGCCTAGTGGCTTCAGCGAACGACTCTCCCTGAGGTCGTAGATTCGATCCCCGGCTGTTCACCAATGGAATTTCTTTCTATGTACGCATTTAACATTCGCTGGATCGGTGAAGGAAAACATCACGAGTATATATCTATGTACATGATATACCAGTCACTCGCAGATAACGATTTGTAAGAAGCACTTAAAATCTTTCTGATGATATATGATGGGTCCGATATCAGTTACAAAATGTTTTATTCAAAACATGAAAACGATAAAGAAAAATAGTGCTACAAGAATTAATATCTAAAATTTATATGTGAATCAGTTTAGGTGTAAATAAATAAACGCAATGGAAACCCAAACATTCGCATTTCTAGTTAAAAGTAACAAATTTCACATTTTATATTAAATTGCATAAATATATTCGTATACTTATTAATATTAATACCAACTTTAACATTAGCCTAATTAATTCACTGCCATTAAGCGTCGTAATTTCCCAGCGGAACAATTGTTTTGGTGTTGGATTTGGTTGTGCGTCTATTATAATAAGTAGTACTCGTAAAAAAGCAGTGGCGCTACAACCACTAAACTCTTGGCCTCAGACTATTGTATCTGTTTTCTTAAAAGGCAAGTTTTCCGTCACCGTACGAGCGGACTACAAGCCATTGGTGCACAGCCGTGATTCGAACGTACGTCGACAGGGTAGCGCACTCTCAAGCCACTAGGCCAACACCTAGATGATATTATCTGTATATTTTGTTGAATTAACATTAGACCTTCGAACCGTAGTTAACCACAATTGGATTTTCTTCATTATGAGCAATTAAATGTGAGGTAAAAGTAATCATAGAGAGGAAACCGGCTTGACTTTGATTCAGTCATTTAATAAATAATAAAAACTTTATTCATGACAAATAGGCTGTAACAAAATTCGTATATCGCTAGTCCCTGGTGGGTAACTAGATAACGATTAGTCAGTGGTACATGGTACATGTTTAAAACAGTTTTTTGAGAAAAAGAAGGTGTTACAACTAATCAAACACAAGTCTTATAAGACATTATGTATGTGTGTGTGTGAATGTGTGTGCGCGCGCATGTATTTGAGAATGTAGCTAAGAGTTGTTATAAGCGTGTGATGTGTCTGTGTTAGTTTTTGGCACATCAGAGTCTGGAGTATGGCTCTTACGTAAGTCTAGGCCCAAGTCTTGACTCTAAATCTTACCCTTATGTTGTTATAGGACCTCATACAAAATGCTACTACCCTATGTTAGGAGGTATTGACGCTTAAAGGAATTTCTGCCAATATATACTTGAAACATACAAAGCTACAGCCCAAAGATCGATGGAACGATTTAGAATAGGGAAGAAAAGAATAGACAAAATAAAGAATACAGGGTTAAGAAAAACAACTAAAGTAACAGATGTTACAATAAAAATAATTAAACTACAGTGGAAATGGGCATGGACATGGCAAGAGAAACAGCAAAGTGGAGCAAAAAAGTTCTAAACTGGTGCCCAAGGTACAGCCAACGAGAAAAGAGGGATAAAACTTAGAAGGTGGATAGACAAAATTAAAGAAAAAGTAGGTGGTACATGGCAGAAAGTGGCACATTGCAGAGAGGAATGGCGGGATTTGGAGGCGGCCCCGGGATATTAAGGCGTAGGGAAGTGACCCCATCGCCCTCTGGTGGGATAACACGACGCGTAAGCCGCTCCCGACTGGTTCTTGCTGAAAAATCTAGCGGGATGCGGCCTGAGAGAGAGACAAAAAAAAAAAAAAAAAAAAAATATATATATAGTGTTTCGTAGCATACGAGGCCAAGGCGCTCGTGATGTTGGCGAGCCAGGCGCGAGGCTGATTTCGGACATTTGTGTTACTCATTCATATTTATGTCCAGAACACCTGAATTCCAAGCTTTGGTGCCCGGTGATGGAATGCATGGCCGGAGGGTTAAATCCGGTCATTAGGGTACCAAAGAGGGGAGCTACCCCTCTTTAATATGAAAAGCAGTAAAAGCATGGAAAGTAACGAAAATGTAAAAACTACCCCAGGAGGGTTAAATCCCTCCCATGACCAGGAGGTCATGGCAGCCGGTCCGCATCGTATTCTGGGGGCGGACCACTCCCGTGCAACAGATTCCAAAAACAAACAACCTGGCATTAATACGGAACAACTGAATAAGCTTACGGACTGTAGCGGAAGGTTGGAGGAGTGCTCTAGCGCTTTTCCGCCACCATCTACACAAGGAGAGAAAACTGTACCAGGAGAGCGCAGAGGTCCCCTCGAGCGCATTCCGAGTATGGATACATCATCGGCGCGCAGTGCGACCAGGAAATTCACCATGGCTGACGAGATGGAATCAGACTCAACCGGCTCCATGGTAAGCATAGGCTCAACGCACAACCATCAGAGTCCCCGAGTCGTGGGTGAAGCTCCTTGCACCCCGGGGGAGAAGCTGCGCTTTTGGCGACCTCGTAAGAGAACGAGACAGGATGATGAAGAGAGCAGCTGCAGCGATAGCCCGAGTCTGTCGCGCGATCGCACGAAAGCGGGTTACCAAAGAGCGCGGAGGGTGGAGAGAGAGAGCGAAGCCGAGGCGGAACTCGCGGCTTCAAATGAGAAACCCTCAGAGACGGGTACGCTCGGTAGCGCTAGAAGACGAATTGAAGAAAACCTAGCTGCCGTAGAGAAGGTGGCTAGGTGTTCAATGAACCTCAAAGGCACCTTCGTTGCCGCACTCAAGAAGGCCGTTGTTGCAATTAGGACAGATGCAGATAGCCTAGCAGTGCAAACACTTTCAGACGAAACACGCGCCCTTCAGATAGAAAATGAACGCCTTCGGGCACAACTGGATCTCTTACAAGACCAAATGCGCGAGCTCAGGTCGTCAATGCAACAAGCTCGGAAGGATTGCCCACCTTTCAACGTAGAAGAACTGGAGGCTCGAATTATCCGCCAGGTGGGGAGCGCCTAAATACTCAATTTGAAGATATCGGACCACAACCCAACCAAGAACCGCCACTACGTTCCCTTCTGGCTACAGACTGCAGAAAAAACACAAAAAGCAAGTCGAAACCATCACTTAAAACGTCGACGCGTGAGGACTTCCTTATTGAAGCAGCAGCCCCGAAGACGAAGCGGGGAAAGGAGAAGGCAATCCAGCAGACAGAGCCGACTGCCACAGGGGAAAAGGCGCAACGACAGTCGAAACGTCTGGCGAAAGCGGCAAGATCGAAAATGATGGAAGGCGAAGACCTCCCTATAGCCTCACTCGCAGTTGCATCCCCGCACACCCCCCCTCTATCGCTGTCCATCCCTGCCGCGGAGGGCTGGAAAATTGTCTCCAAAAAAGACAAAGTGCAACAACAGCGACTCCAAGAAATGCAAAAGTTCCAAAGTCGGAAAAATCTAAAGTAGGCAAGCCCCCTCTTCAACCACTGCCCAAGCTAAAGGTGCCCCGCACCGCTGCGATAGTACTTACAGTGCCGAAGGACGCCGAGGCAAGAGGGGTCACCTATGCTGCAGCCCTAAAGGAGGCTCGGGCCAAAGTGGATCTGAAGGAGGCCGGTATCGAGGCCGTTAAGTTCCGCCGCGCCGCCACGGGAGCCACCATAATTCAAATTCCCGGGGTGGGTAGCGGGGAAAAAGCCGACACTTTGGCCGAGCGACTCAAAATAGCATTAAGTGACTCCGGGATTAAAATCACACGGCCTGTAAGATGCGCTGACGTCCGCGTCTCTGGTTTAGATGACTCTGTCACTCCGGATGAACTGCGCGAGGCCATCGCGGCCAAAGGCGAATGCCCGATTGATCAGATAAGGGTGGGCCGCATACGACAGGACAGGTCGGGCCTTGGCGCCGCCTGGGCCAACTGCCCGGTTTCAGCCGCCAAGAAACTGCAAATGGGGCGTTTTCTCGTCGGCTGGGTAGCGGCGAGCATAAGCGTCGCCAAACCAAGAGAGCTGCGGTGTTTCCGCTGCTTGCAGGTCGGGCACGTAGCCAGCCGCTGCGTGTCAGAAACCGATCGTAGCCGACTGTGCTTTCGCTGCAGTCAGCCCGATCACAGGGCAGCCGCTTGTAGGGCAAAACCAAAGTGCTCGCTCTGCG